AAAGTCAGAATTCTGAGAAAAAAGTCCGAATTCTGAGAAAAACGTCAGAATTCTGAGATTTAAGTCAGAATCCTGAGAAAAAAGTCACAATTCTGAGATTAAAGTCAGAATCCTGAGAAAAAAGTCAGAATTCTGAGATAAAAGTCTGAATTCTGAGAAAAAAGTCTGAATTCTGAGATTAAAGTCAGAATTCTAAGAAAAAAGTCAGAATTCTGAGAAAAAAAAGTCAGAATTCTGACTTTTCCCCCCATACTAAACTGAAATAAAATTTAAAAATCAGTTAACTTTTTCTTTTTTTTTCCAGTGGCCCTAATAATCTCCAGTATTAAACAGTCATACGCTGAAAGAAAATATGTATTATCTACACAATATCACAGTCCTTAGAGACTGTGATATTGTGTAGATAACACATGATATGAGAATTTGCCTTTTAGCTCAAATTGAACAGAATTTAAATGAAAACAGATCAAGGTTTCTCGTGAAAGCAGGTATCAGGTCTCAAAGGTAAAAAAAAAACAGCACCATTATTATGTCTTCCTGAGGTGACCTCATCTTAGGGAGGATGTTCCTGTGATGGAAGTGTATTGAAGCGATTCGTTTTGAGTTAACATCATTGCAGAATAAAAAACAAAGGAAGCAGAACTAACACAGTTTTATTTTCAGTGTGCTAACTATGCTAAGAATCAATCCACATGTTTCCCCTAATCTAAAGGCTGAACTCATTTCTTCCCTCCTACAGGAGGAGTAGAAGCACATTCTAAGGTCAGTCCCCAAACCCACATTAAGAACAAATCTGCTTACATGTCTGGCCTCCCTGCGCAGCCCCTCGATGTTCCTCAACCAGCAGCGGCTCAGCTCGCTCAGCTCCAGGATGGGCTGCACCTTCAGCCTCACCGTGTCTCCTGACTGACGGATCATCTCAACGATCTCGTCGCGGCTCTTGTTCTCCACGTTCCGGCCGTTTATCTCCACCAGCCTGTCGCCAGGCACCAGTCCGAGCGCCAGGTCCTTGGTGCCGGCACCAGGTTCTGCAAAGTGGACCACCCGCCTGTAGACTCCTCCATCAGGACTGCGGTCTAGCATTGTGGTGCGGCGCAAAGAAAAGCCAAAGTCGCCGGTGTTGCGCCGCTGCAGTTCCAGCTCCCGTGTTTCTGGGACACTTGGTGCCACCACAGCAGGCAGCTGCAGCGCTGCAGGAAACACCTTATCCACCAGCTCAGGGATGAAAACCTTTCTGGGGTCGGCCGCCTCTGGTTGACCCCTCTGGCTGTGTTTGCGCAGCATATTGAAAACCTTGTTCTCCACCTGCGGCGACGGGGCAGCAGAGTTCTGTCCGGAGGGAGTGGAGCCCTCTGATGGGCTCTCCTCCTTGCTCCTCTGGGAGAAGGAGAAGCGTTTCATCATTTGCCCCATCTGTGACGAGTTCTGCTTTGCAAGAGAACCAAAGTGCGCCACGCGATCCCGCACCGAGCTGCGGTGTCCATCCTTTTCTCCTTCACCTCTCTGCTCATCAGTGGAGCTGGCCACACTAATCTGGTCGTCCAGAACCACGCTGCTTCGGTTGCTGACGTTATCCGACTCGATGTCGGTGAGCGATAGCTCGGTGGTGCTGGCCACTTTGATGGGAATGGGGTTGGAGATCTCCACTTTGGTCTTGGACTCTCGTTTAGCCTCTCTCTTCAGATTGAAGAAGCCTCGCCGCACGCTCATCTCCTCCAGGCTGCGCAGCTCTGCAGCAGACATCCTGTCATTTTTACCCTTCTTCTCTTTCCTGCTGCCTTCCCTCTCTTTATCCTTCTTCATCAAGTTAAACATGGCGGCTATCTAAATCCCCCCAAAGAGACGGAGTTACGAGTCCGGAGCCGTGTTTCCCAAAGGGAAAATCCCCTGGAGAGGGAGATAGGAATAACAACTGTAAAACAAACAAATCACAGCATTCCTTCATTTCGTTTAAAAAAAAAACAAGTTTCTTTCTAAATATTCAGAGAAATTAATGATTTAATGATTCTATAAATTAATGATTCTGTTCATAATTTGGTTTCAAGGTCTAAATGAAAATAAAAAAACAGTTTTTATCTTAACAGAACAAAAGAACGGGTTTGTTCCGCTCGCCTGCAGAACCAAAGAACCTTCTAACAGAACATGTACCATGAGGCCTTCATGGGATTATTACTACAACCAAATTCCATGTGCAGAAGAGCTTTAAGAGCTGACGTACGGCTCTGGCAGCATAACGCCTCCAAAACATCCCAGTTTAAAGAAACTAAAGCGAGGCTTCATCCAGAGGTTCGCCCTCCAGAGGGCCGACACGAGGCAGCGGGCAAACTGATGGCTGCATCTACAAAAATGGGTCAGCTGCAGCCGGTCGATGATCCGCACTCTGTGAAGGTTAGCTCTGTGTGCCATGAGGCCAAGGAGAAGCTAGGAGGAATGTCCACATTTAAAACATCTCAAAACAAAAGCAAAGCCTCCAGAGAACTGACCTCCCAACATGTTCCCAAAGCATCAGAACATGCAGAACTCCCAGGAATGAGCAGAAATATAAGACGTCCGTCTCTGACCGCACGGACCTCGGCTCACAGGTTAGAGGTCATTAATCCACACGCACTGTTTGCTGGAGAGGACGTCTCCGTTACAATGGAGACCGTTTTGGTTCATGAAGCAAACTGGGACACTGCGAGGTCCAGGCAAACAGGACCCGAGTGGAGACTTTTGGGTCGGAAATTCTGGTAAGCAGCACAGAGTTCCTGTGGTTTTAGTTCACCTGGGGACCAACTGGTCCTGCACTGATCTGGAAGGCATTACTGTGGTTTAAGAACGTTTCCAGAACCTTCTATAGGTGGAAAGATGTCAGTTTCCTATTGAGAAACAGGCCTGGAGGTTTTTCAGCCCAGTTTGTTCCTGGGAGCCCTCTGTGCTTCACTTTCACATAGTTCTAACACTGTGTAAAAAATCTTGGTGTTGTTTTTAATCAGGACCTGTCATTTAAACCCCATATATAAGAGGTTTCTAGAATTTCCTTCTTTCATCTGCACAATCTTGCAAAAATTACAAATCTCCTGTCCAGGGGTGATGCTGAGAAACTAGTCCA